CACGAGAGCCTCTGTGAAGACTCTGCGAAGACGTGCAGACATTCGATCTTTGTCTATAGCTTCATTTTTATCGGAGAAAGATAGCATGCGTGGGCAGTGAAATGGGAGTATATGGCTGTCTTTTATATCCTGTCTCCATAAGAAGCTCTCTCATAAGAGGACGCAGTTCACGTGCACAAATCTGCGCCTTAGCTCCGCGCGACGCACGAGTGAAGGAGAAAGAAAGAGAGAGAACGAGAAAAGGAGCGTTTACAGAGGAGAACACTAAGAGGTAATAGAAAATTTGCGAAAGCGCAGGAGCGTGAGAGCGAGTCCTTAATTCGGCCGCTTCTCGAAGCACGCTCTCTCGCATATTCGGGATGCGCCTCGCGCTTCGTTTTGGCTCTCTCAGCTGCACTCTCCGCGCTTCGCTTGAACGCTCAGCTTTCTAGCGAGAGCCGATGGTACGCGAAGGGTCGCGCGCGCGGATTTCCGGAGTCCAGGCGGCGGTGGGCCGCGATCCGCTTAATGAGATACTCGCCGCTACCGCGCTCATTAACCGCTCGCGCACACCGGCGCGAGAAGAGCTCGGGGCCGGGCCCAAGGTTATTCAATTAACGAGCCGCAAACGCGAATAAATTAATTATGCCGGCGCGTCACGGGATAGATTAGAGCGAGCGATGTGTCTATGGGAGGAATCCCGTACGGGGAATCGCGTACGGGAGGAAATATAGCGTGCGCGATGCCGACTTAATTACACAACCTCTCGCTAACATGTTTCTGCTTCTCGTTCAGTCAGTACCGTTTGCCGCTTCAAAAGGTACGCTCTCGCGCACGCCTAAAGGGGCTTCATTATTGTTCTCGTGCTTTTTTCTATCGCGTTAGTTCCGCGGGCGCTACCTCGCGCCCCCTCGCCCCGCTCTGTCCCGGGACATAATTTCTTAAAGCAAAGACGCGAGCGCGCGCGGCGAATGGGATAAGGAAGCGAGTGCCTGCCTTCTTACCGCCGCGTGTACAGCCGTGGAACATTGTTTATGTAATTATATCGGTAATAATGGCGACGACACACGACCGCACACGATGAGAGTACAGGAGACGAGCGAATTTTCGATCTGGCCGTTTCCCTCCGACAGTGAGCGGTGAAAATGAAGCGACATTTTTTACCGTGAGACTTTGCACCTTTCCACGATTCGCAAAAAACGTGTGAAATTCTCTGATTCACGCTGAAACGATTTACTTTAGCGGGGAATCGTATCCTCGCCCCGAGGTGCACTACCTCGAGTTTTCAGGATCAAAATGACCGCGTTGAAGTTATATATGTACGCAGAGAAATGTAATATTCGTTCGAGTTACTTCTGTATCATTAAAATCCTCCGACTGAGCTGCGCTAATTAAGTGCAAGAGAGATACGCGCAGCGGCGAATGGAAGCGAAGAAAATAGGCCACCCCGACCATGTATCTGGGATACATCCTGTCATTTGTCATTTCAGGTTTGCGCTTGACTCGTCAGCTTCTCCCCCATTGTCTGCGCCACGGAGATAGTTTTGTCCCTGGGGAGAAGCGTATCGCGAGATCGGCGACACTCGTATCACTCGACGATCGTATCGTTCATTTTCCGGCGAGCTTCGCGCAAGTCCCGGAATCGCGGCGCTGTCGAATTCTCAGCCTCGCAGACACACGAAGAAGAAGCTTTCCGAGGTCGAGAGTGAATGGCAGATCTATCGTGCTCTCGCGACGACATTCTACTCGCGACTTGATCCTTCCATCCGACCGTGTCCCTGATTCTCTCTCTCTCTCTCTCTCTCTCTCTCTCTCTCTCTCTCTCTCTCTCTCTCTCTCTCTCTTGCGCGAATCTCCAAATGATTTTCTGTTTTGAAGAAAACTTTGCAATTGAAGCAAATACAGAGCGGTATATCGGAACTAGTACAAGTACACGGAATGCTTCAACTTCACCGAGCAAAAGTCGCAAATTTTCAGGCGGAGTTTCATTTCATTTTTCAATCTTCGATACGAAATACGTTATATATCGCAATTAATTCGCCCAAATTTTGATGAAAGTAGCAATCAGTATGAGACACGTTGAAGAGTCTCTGTCGTTCTGTCGTTAAAATTCGACGTGAAGATTTCGCAAGCCGGACAATAAATGTAAAATCGTTTACAAATTTTTCATGCGCGGAAAGATATTCGATTTGCTTCGACTCATTTTCGTCGCATTTTAATAGGACTAACGGTCAATTTAGCAGTTGCGTGGTATATCGCGCTTGTTAATAATACGGTAATGTTTAACAAACGTTCCGTAGACAAAACCGCGGGCCGCTCTGTCAGGATTAACGCTCGCATGCGGGTCGGTCGCAGTACGAATTAGGGAAAAAACCTGATAACCCTGGCATTTGTAAGGATTAGAAAGAAAATAAGTAAAAACGGCAGCTTAAACCTCGACATTGGTCGTACGACGAAAATCTGGCACACCCTAATAATCCGGGGCGATTTCTCAAAAGACGATCTCGCGCGTCCTTTTTGCATTTCGCCGTTCATTTTCTCCGTTGCATAACTGATGCCATTCTCAATTACGTTTCGCTTCTTTTCAATTTACCAACACGTCCATCGGCATCGAAAACATATAAATATATTTATACAGAATTATTATCAATATTTATCGTGAAATGTATTAATTCCTATTACACTTATTTTCTTTAACTTTGAACACAATTTAATAAACACTTCTGGATATATATATATATATATAAATTTATGTTCGAAAGTATATCCAGTAATTTTTAAAAAATATTCTTGAGTCATAATGCAGAATATACTCGAGCCGAAATTTTGATTCTACCTGGTTAATCCTGCAAATTTCGTTGGCATTTGAGTGTATGATCAGTGGTTTCAAATTTCAAAAAATATAACACTATACAAATTATTGTCCTACTTTGACACACTACAAATCTTATTTATTGTCATCTTCTTTATATAAAATCTTAAAGACTCATTTAAGAATTATTTAATATTTGATTATCTCAATGTTCTATTTGCATCGAACTTTTATTTTTAATTTCAATGAGCAATGTATTAATTGTGAAACTTATCAACTATTGATAAAATGAAATAAGCAAATATTAAGTAATCCAACAAAAATCAATGGGTAAATGTATAAAAGAAACAACCAATTTTTATTCCCACAATCTTTTTTTTTTTTTAAGTTGGAAGTTTCGATGGGATCTGAGGCTTTTAAGAGTTGATAAGGAAGTATAATAGCTATGAAGTCAAAGACAAAATGCCTGCCTAAATTTTGACTCGAGTGTCTATTCTGGTCAAGTTCTTTAAATCGAGTCTGTTAAAATCGAGAAGTTCCGATCTAACAACTGAATTAACGTGAAGCCGACACGATTAAATATTTCAAGAGTCGTCGAAATATTTCATTTACCCGACGGGAATAATAACGGAACATACAACTACGTTTCGCGGCTCGAAACGTAATGTAATAGTCGTGATATACGAAGATAAATTTGACCGTTTTCGTACTTTCACGCTTTCTGTACATTTCCGTGACCAAATGTGATTACATCATACATCGGCCAACAAAAATCTCCGTGCAGTGTATATACGTCGGTGAGTTATCAAAATTTTCCGTCGATTCTTGAAATATTTGGACGTTTGTCGGTGTCTGGCGTTAATTAATTAACATTCCTCTCCCGATCGAACCGTTGCGTCTACCCGAGTATTAATGCTACGTATAATGCTACGAGCTAATGTCCAAAATTGCCACGACGGGGTATCGGAGGGCGCAACGCGCTGCATCGGGAAATTAAGACACAGGCAGCAGCGATACTTTTATGTGAGAAATCATTTATTGCGCAAAATATTTTTGATATTGTACCGAATCAAAATTTAGATTGTCAATACATAGCAGTATTAAAAAATCGCTTTCTAACTTTACAGCTGCTAGAAAGAATTATGAATAAAGTTTGTCCCTTTCTTTATCCCATTCTTCCCATTATTTATAATCATATAAATTATTTATTACAATATTTACTTGTCTCGCGTACTTTACACTCTGCAGCTAAATTACACGACTATAATATATTTGTTTGCCGAAACTAAAAATAAAGATTAAGTACAAGTAGAATATATTGGAGAGTATAATTAAATATTAAATAATATCTCGTTAAGATTCAACATGGAGAAAACATGCAGTAAATAACATCTGCAACATCACGGTAAGACAATAACACGCACAGTGTTATGTCTGTGGACGCTCCATTGATCCTTCAAGATGGACGAAATTTGCAAGATTAATGCAGGATCAAAATTTCTCGACTCGGGTATACACACACGGCGAGCTGGATCCGTATTCCGAAGTCATAACGCACATATTTCGCTAATTATCCTATATTGAATATTAAAATTCGACGAGCCGCGTAAACCCTGTTACCTTTCGACCGGTTTACAACGAAGTTTAATTACGCGGTGCCAAGTTTGATATAGTTAGGCCCATTGAACTGCCGGCAAGATTGTTTTACGAAGTAAATGAGGCAATGATGACTCGAGGCTTCGGGACCACCTAGCAGCCTGACGAAGTCCTTCCAGGCTTGCCTTTAAACTCCTTGCAAACTAATTAACGCACGACTAACACACGTACACACGCAGGCATCTATACGTACCCTATCTTCTCTTCTTCTTGCTCGCACGCGCTGAAACTCTCTCTCTCTCTCTCTCTCTCTCTCTCTCTCTCTCTCTCTCTCTCTCTCTCTCTCTCTCTCTCTCTCTCTCTCTCTCTCTCTCTCTCTCTCTCTCTCTCTGTCGTAGACTCTTAGAAAAATTTATCGAGAATTCTAGAGATCTGCCTGTAATTTAGGCTGCTGCTGCTTACTACTCTCAGCGGTAGTTGTAACACAGTTATTACCACAGAAATAATGTCCTGTATTAACTTCTATTACATTTGACAGAAACATATAAATCTAGTGTGTCCTCGGCTCGGCATTTGATACTAGTAAAAGATAACAGTAAAAAGAGTTTATGCATCTGGGACGTATTGCCATGTACAGGTTTTATTGTGTAAGTTATGAGGGAAATCACAAAAGACATGAAATAAAAAAAAATATTTTTCGTTTTCCTTTATAAAGTTGCTCCGCGGAAACAATGTCGCACATATATATTATATATGTAAGATACAAATAGCTGGATTATGCAACACTGTGTTAACGTTGGCACGCGTTTTTTCCTTCTCTCGTACATGTTAAAAGCGTGACGCTGCTCTATTAGTGAAATACGTGCTTCGATAAAATAAAAAAACACACATACATATATGTATATATGACGCGTTTGAAACCGGGCCAAAATGTACTGATAACAAACAGTTGTATCTATCTAGTGTATACAATCACGCATGTTAAAAAAGTTAAAAATATATTTTGCTATAAAGAGAAGTCCAGAAACGTTCTCGTAGTCTAAGTCTTCACAAGTACACAAATCTCGATCTCTCACGCGAATACATATGAAATATATAAAAAAAAAATAAAAAAAAAAGATAAAATATGTACATATATATTCACGTTTGACGTCTCGTCGATAATCCCGCAAAAAATCATGAATCTGCACATGTAACGTTAAATTGATAAATTCATTCTCTAAGATTCTTGCTTCTTTACACTATCTGCGATATTCTCTTCCTTTTTAGATATCATGAATCTCTTATCTCCCTCTCTCTCTCTCTCTCATCGCGTTACTCCTTCTTAACAAATATATTAGAATAGGCATAGGTAGACGCAACAGCATAGACTTATATTCTTTCTTATAATCTGTCGATAACGGGCATATATAATTGGGGAGGATTGGATATACTCATATACTTATATATGTATATATATATATATATGTATAAAAATATCTTGCGTTAAATCAACTATCGTTATTAAACGTTGAACGGAATTGGCTACGCGATTATATTCGATCAGGCAGATCAGCTCGGCACCAGTTCCGTTCCTGAAACAAAAATCACACACGTCTCGTGTTCAGTCTTGCTTTACTGCTCCTCCTGAAAAGCTCAGCTGTAACAAAAGTGTTTAACGCGAACAAGCGGTGTTTCCTCTCCTATCTCTTCCCTTCTCATATTCCGTTATAAAGTTATCTCATGCTGCATAACTGAGAAAAATCATCACTAAAACATTTCGCAAGACATCGAATACGTCAATTAAATGCGTCAATATCATGCGTGAGAAATTCGCTCGACGTCACAGCATGCTCATTCCATAAAAATCATCTCAATTAATTATCTCAATTAATTATATGACACATTCATGTACACACATTGTATGTTGTTTATACGCGGCATCTCGCGATATATACGTAAGTCGCCTGGCACTTTTCGTTTCCGTCCATCTCTCTGCCTCTCTTTTTTCTTTCCTTGCGTTTCTCCGTATTCCCTACGCAAACTTTCTTTTATCCCGAAGGGAATTTTCTTTATAGAAAATAAGCCAGGCGAGTCGATCAAAGCTCGCTCTGTTGTTTCATAGAGGGTGGATCCTACAAGGATTTGTATATTTGTATACGTATGACCGTGTGTATGTAGATGTGCGTTTATAGATGTGCTCGTCTGTATCTGTCGGACTGCACCCTCACGCAGAATGTGTGCGCGTGTGTATGTGTGTACACGGGTGTGAGACGAAACGTCTTACGCATGACTGACTCTCCTAAAGCATTTTTCCACGGTGCTAGCGAAATGGAGTCTACCCTTTCGTCTGCTTTCCTTTCTTAGCTATCCGTAGAATGATTTCCTAGAATAGCGAAAACACGAAAGAGCCACGACTTGATTGACGAGTGACTACTACGACATTGCGGCACAAAAACGCACGCAATAAAGTGCGCCGATAATAAAGCACATGCTCTCACTAAAGAAACGAAATGCTCAAATACTCTTGTTTCCTTCGCGCCGGATTAGAAGAGCTGCGAGAACGTAAGCTGCAAGAATAAAAAAAGAGCCGAGTCGCATGCAAATAAAATGATGGATAAGCACAGGGCGCAAAAAGTGTGATAAGAGGACAAATTGGTGCAAGTACGGCGTGCCGGTGTTTTCCCGGTCGTATCAGCTGTGAAAAATAGAATGACATTTCGCGATGCAGCTATCGCGCGATTTTCTGTTTTGCGTTTTACCGCGTAAACGAAGGAAACGGCGGTAAAAGGACGGGCGGAAGCGAAAGAAATGCTTTGCAAACGCGGCCACGGAAATCCTCTAGTCAATAGTGGTGTTGCTCGTGGCGCTCCTTAAAATCACATTAAGGACGAGAACGGTGCCGAAAATGATGGAACGAGGAGGAGGGAGCGAAGATGCTGCAGAATGGAAGGACGTGGCGGGAAGGGAGATGAGACGAGCTGCACGAGACCGTGGAATGCCACGAGAATTTTAAAACTGCGAGGAGAGCACCGAACTAAATCGATATCGAATTCATTGCGTTGTATTCATTGTTTCGAAGAGCCATCTTATCGTCGACTTTGTTCTACAGCTTCCTCACTCGTCATCGCGTCAAAATGAATCAAGCGATGAAGATCTTGAAAGATCGTCACAAGTGTCAACTTTGGAGATACGACTTTTTAAACATGCAAACAATTAGATTCAAATCGATGCAAATCAATACCCGCGATGTATCCATTTTAAGATTATCTGATCGATTTTACTGAAACGCGAGCAAATTATTCGAAATTTATCTCGGCCTAAGCAGGTGCGATTCATATCCTCCTCTGGTCCGGAGACAAAATCGCTCTTGATACGTAAAACGAAAACGAGGAGAAAACGAAGGACAAAGAGGCGGAGTTAATTAATTGCGCCATGATCAATGGAATTCTCGCGTAACGCATTGGAGGGAGAACCAAGGGAGAAAGGATTTCTCTCTCTTTCTCTTTCTCTCTCTCTCTCTCTCTCTCTCTCTCTCTCTCTTTCCTCCCCCGCCACTCTCGCCCCATCACATCTTCTTCTGTCTGTCTCTCGTCGTAGCTGACTGTGACAAATAATTACCAAGGCTTAACATAAGCCAGAGGCGGTATACTTAGCTAATAGCAAAAAAGAGCGGCAATGGCCTCGTCTCGCTACGTGCAAGCGGCGTTTACTCAACGCGTTTACGTTGTGACGGGCCCGCGCGGGATAGATTTCCACGATTCTGAATTCCACCGGCTTTCGCGCGACGCATTCGTGCAACGGTCGGGAAAAACCGAGAAAACGGAGACAGTGAAGCACGAGGAGCACACAAGTATCAGCGATTCGCGTCGCGTCGCATCGCGTCGCGGCACATCCACGGGTTCGCCCTTCAACTTCTCTCACTCAACTACTCTTTCTCTCTCTCTCTCTCTCTCTCTCTCTCTCTCTCTCTCTCTCTCTCTCTCTCTCTCTCTCTCTCTCTCTTTCTTTCCAGATGGCACGGCATACTCTCGGGGCCAGTCTTAAACGACATAATAGTCAGAGCCGGTACCGAAGCCGCTCTCTCACTCCCATCTCTCGCCGGCCTCTCGTTCTCGCGGGACCCCGGCTCGCAGCCTAACTTATACTTATTATTGCATTACCTCGTCTTCTAGCATAATTCCAGCCCGTGGAAGCTAGCGGGGAGAGATGATGTGAGAGAGAAAGAGAAAGACGAGAGAAACAAGTTGCGCCGGGCAATGGCTTTTTTTACAAAATTCGGCGCATAATCCGCTTTACCCGGAGGTGAAACGTGCGCACGACGTGGTCGTGGTCGCGCAATGGTGACAGCAGGTGCATCGCCCTCTTCTTCTGGACGCGCTAACGCGAGCAACCGTCTCACGTTAATGTCTTCATTACGACTTCATTCATCAAACCACACCGAGCCCGGCGCGTTCGTTTTTCCCTCAATATCCGTTTTCATGCCGGCGTGTATCTCCTCCCTCAACGCGAGGTATAGCAGTTTCCGCACACCGCGCCGCGAGGGATTTGATTTTTCACAGGAAGATGGGACGAGAGCGCGTCTCGCTCTCTCCAACCGCAACCGAGTAGTGTTGTAATCATTCGAGCGTTGTCCCGGCGTAATTAATTTTTTTAAACATTCCCTGTTACGCGCGAAGGTATAAAATGATACAAGATGTGTAAAGATGTACGTTTGTGCGGAGATAAAACTGCTCGCGAACAATTACATGTTTTCTGGAGGCATTCGGCGACGTGAGAAGCTGTAAATTGTAGCTGTGCAAATGGACGATAAGAGACACCTTTGTACAAACAAGCCAAGAAGACAAAAGTCCTGTCGTAATACTTGTGCGGCAATACCGGTTTTAAAATGGCAACCGAAGGAATATCGAGAGAAAATGAGACAAGACCGAAAGGCATCGAGCGTGGAGATAATATACGCTACAAATTTGATGCACGAGCATGTCGCGTTCGACAACAGTTCGCGCTCACCGAACGTATCCACCCCTCACCCCGTGAGAACTGGAAGGGGTGGCGGGCTCTCATGAATGTGCCGCGGAGTTTCGTGAGCTCCTTAATGAACCTAGTTCGCGAAAACCATTAATAACGCAAGGACTCGAGAGCGAGGAAGCGCGAGCGGGAAAAGAGCAGCCGATATTCTCGGCGAGGACCAAAACCGCAGATCTTCCGTGAAAGAAAGTCCACGGAGCAGCGCGGCAGGCTGCTTCACGGGGTCCATTATTTTTCCAAAAGGCAATTGCATGAAACGTAAACCGGTGAAAGTCGCGAGAGGTAACGCGAGAGAGAAAGAGAGAGAGAGAGAGAGAGAGAGAGAGAGAGAGAGTATTAACACGTATCGCAAAAATAAAAACGGGCCGGCGATCGCGATTCGTTGTTTGCCGAGCGAGTGACGCTTTAATGAAAGCTCTTTCTTCTCGGAGAGGAAACGGCGGGAAACGGAGAGATAGTCAGTCGGCTCGGAGGGTGTCGGCTAGCCCTAATGCGACGTATCAATATACGTGGATGGTGGTGATGGGCCAATATCGCATAAGTGGCTCGATTCGCAGTCATTTGTTACATTTTGTTCGGTCTAAGTAATTTAAGAGTCACCGTTCGCCCTCTTCTTCTTCTCCTCCTCCTCCTCCTCCTACACTTTCTCTCGTCTCTTTCGTCTTTCTCTCGAGTGGAAGGCCAAGTGACGAGGGGGCCGGAAGAGAAGGCGGAAACTAAGAGAGAACAGGAGAATAAGAAAGCGGAAAGGGTGGATGGTGGGTTAGGTCGCCCGGAACCCCGATGGAAGTTACGCCACGGCGAAGGGAGCGGGACGAGGGTGGTGCACTTCGCCTCCATTCTTCGGCAAATCGCGGCATATTTGTCAGATTTTTGTTCGAGAACAAAACCTCGCCGGGACCACCCCTGGCGCGGGAGTGAAAGGGAGGAAGGAGGGGGATAGACGTATAGAAGGGATGCGGCGGCGGCGCCTTAAGTGGATTGGTTTCGTTCGCTTCGCGTATGTGTATCTATCCACGGCGAACGCCTTAATTTCAGCTCGCTCTGCCAGGGATTCTCGCCTTTTCCCCGCCGCGAGTTCTGGGCCGCGTGAGGAATCTCTGCCCCTCCCGCGAAATTACAGCAAACGACGTGGTGCCTGCATATCGTTAGCGTAACGATCATCTCACGCGAGTCGCATAATTGCGCGCGCGCGCAGGTATCAGACACATGCAACGAAATGACTGCGAGCTAATCTGCACGACGCTACTCGGTGGAGTTTCGCGGAATTTCACACAGCACGACAGGCTTGCACACGCGCATGCGTATACTTTATACATGCATCATGCACCACGATACTCGTTCGAAATAAATCTTGATTTTTTATCTCACTCACCCTTGAAACCCTTTTCCGGCGACGTCGCCTCGAAACTGTGGGCGTCGGATTCTACGTCGTTCTCGTTTTCCATAGGAGCGTCGATCTGAAATCATAAATGTTCAAGGCTCACTTGTAACGCTAATTACAACAAGGATGGATTTCTCTTTTCTTTCTGCGAATTGCCCAACAAACTCAACCGCAAGTGAAATCCAAAATTTTCGGCAGCGAGATGTGCGCGTAACGCTCTCGTGTGCCTACGCAAGTACACGACGAAGAACGGGAGGGGGGAGGGGGAGGCTCTTAATCAAAGAATAATTTTCTGCTTGAGATTGTCGACATTGTTTCGTTCGAGATGCATCTCGGACAGGCGAGAGGACATGATCATCCGCATTAAATTTGAGTGACGTGGCGCATCGGAGACACGTGTGAACAGCTGCCAGCGGCTATAACAGTGTCTTCCCACGCGTCTTCTCAAAGCACACATGTGATCCACCAATTTACGCGTCTTTCCATAGAATTTCAGTAAGACTACGTCTTACGCCTCGTAAACCGTTACGAGGCCTCGGTAAATCTCGGAAGTAATATCGGCATCATTAATCATTAATGCGCATAATAGCGTGTAACGAGACGAAATACTATTTTCGTCGGCAGACAAAGGCGATCATGAGAAAGCAGATTTCCAAAGAAGAAAATATTTGTATTCAAGATATACGTAGTAGCGTAGCAGCGCCTAGCTGACTCGACAGAGAGAGAGAGAGAGAGAGAGCAGAGAAAGAGAGTCGCTGATGATCGAAAAACTTGGCATGGGAATCCGGGTGTGCGCGCGTAGGTGTGTGATTACGTCTCTCCGAAACCCCTTTTTCCCATAGAACTAAATATAGCGAGTGCCATCCGATGGCTTGGACACACGTGTGTCGCGCGACGTTCGTACGACCCACTAACATCTGGTCGGTATTTCCTGGCCGCGCGGCACATCTTCTGCAATATGATTTATTTTCAAGTATAGGATCCCAGAGATTCGCGTCACGACGAGAGATCGTGTCGGCGAGAGCGGATAGTCAAAGGCAGTGTGTGAATATACAGTGGCCGATGCAAAAACAAATCAACGCGCGTAGGGAGAAAGGGAGAACTGCAGTCGCCGTTAAGTGTTGAGAAATTTTTCAGCGTGTATATGTAGCAAGCGATAATAGACCTCTCTCCCTCCCTCTCTCTCTCTCTCTCTCTCTCTCTCTTTCAAATTATCTACATCGGCGCTTAAAAAAATACTCGGTGGAAAATAGAGCGTACGCAAGCTATGTTGCTGCCTCTCGTCTCGACTCGAGCCGTTAAAAGACACTTGGTCGATAATTCCTAGGCGGAGAGATGACGCAGTTTGTCAAAAACTATGCCGGCCTCAGCGTCATCGCCGAAGCGACGTTGATCGCTTCCGATTGAGGTCGCTGGCATTGGAAGTGCATAGTTTCCATGGTACGGATTCCCCGAAGTTCTTTCTTTCATCACTAAACATTATTCTCAGACCTCCTCTCTCTCTCTCTCTCTCTCTCTCTCTCTCTCTCTCTCTCTCTCTCTCTCCCTCCCTCTCTCTCTCTCTCTCTCTCTCTCTCTCTCTCTCTCTCTCCCTCTCTCTCTCTCTCTCTTTCTCTCTCTCTCTCTCTCTCTCTCTCACTGCAGCCCCCTTGTCTCGCAGACAGTGCGAGAGTGTGTAAAGAGGAAGACGAAGGTAGGGAAACCACGTAAAGAGCGTTCTACACGGGTATAAGGCCAGTTTTGAAATGCTCGGCAATATAGTGAGTTCGTTATGAGGCTCGCCCCGACGTGGTATGGCTCATAATTGTAGACTCGGAGTTCGAACCGTGCACCTCCAGGCACTACGTTCTCTCCGACTGACACCTATTGTCCGCGGGAGAGTTCCGCGGACTCGGCCGAAAACCGCTTCAATCGCTCGTCGGCGAGCGAAAAAAATTGTCCGATCGTCGTCCGCGCGCGGCACCGATTTTCGCCGATCGGCCCGATCGGCTTCTTGCCGCGCGCGAATCCGACCCGCCGGGCGCAAGGCGAACGCAAGGCGGACAAAACATTTCATGGCCGGGCATGAAAATTATTAGCCCGAGAATGTCTTAATCCCCGGCAGTGAGCCCGGTCCCGCGGTCTTCGGCTTAACATAAACTTTTTTTCCGCCCGAGACTCACCGGGAGAAACGCTCGGCGCGCGGGCTGACGGTCTCGCGAAGATGCGGCTAAGTGTACTGGAACGCGGCGCAGTTCGGCGCATAATGTATGTGCAACGTCGAACGGCACCCCGTTTATTTCCAGGCTAATGCACGGTTTTAAGGTACGCCGCGCGGTGCGCGCTTTTTCCACAGCCGCCGCCGCCGTCGCCGCCGCCGCCGCAGATCGCGATGCCGGCGTTGTTATCGCACGCTTTATGTTTCTATCGTCACTTTAGAAAGCGAGCGCACGACTTTTCGCGCGCAATCGCCGAGACGAGCGTAGAATCGCGAAAGTCGCGATTGGAAACGCACAGTATTTCAATAACGGCGTGTTACAACTGCGCAAGGTGATTAGAATTGCCAGACGCCCTCTTCTGGGAAGGCTTGTCCTCCTTACCCTTCTTTCTAGCCAAATTTGCCAAAATGTTCATGCCCTGCCAAGGACGCTGTTTGTCACCCTCCCTACCGCATCGAAGGAGTTTCTTTTGCTCTGCTTGCCACATGCGCCGCCATCACAATCGTTATCTAGTAACATTTTTGTCGATACATTTTCATCGATGATATGTACATGTGAAAAAAATATATCTGTATGAAATGTAAAATGTATGTGATGTTGAGAACTAACGTTTGACAAAATGGCAAACGCATTCTACCGACGATCTCTTTTCTTTGTTCAAAATTTTCGGTCGTCCTTTCCCAGCGACTTACAAAATTAGAAACCGAGGATGACGAACATATTTGTCGCACACGTAGCGTGCGATAACGATTGTTTTTTCCGTTATTGCTTGCGAACTCGGAAGGTCACTCGTGTTTGAAATCTTTTCTCGCCCGTCTCGATCGTCCCTTCCTGTCTCCATTTCGTGAGAGAAGTGATTCTTGCGTTTCCCTCCTCTTCTCAAGAGCACAAGTGAGACTCTATCGCGCATATTTAATTTTGTGATACGCTTACGCTATGCGCGCAACTAGATACGTGCTCGTGCGTTTTCAGCGTGAAGGAACACGTGGAATAACAAGCACTCTCGCTTCGGATAAGTATCTTTTGTATTCGCTGAGACATCATTAGGGAGTAGGAGTCTTAAGTTATTCCCAGGCTGTCCTGAGTTATTTATCTGTCTGCACGCGTAGGGTGAATCTTGCCACCTCCCGCTCTCCTCCTCCTCCTCCTCCTCCTCTCCTCGACCACGTCTTAATACCACGAGCCACAGAGTTAATAAACCGACATAACGGCAATTCTCAGAGTTCCTCAGCTTCCTTCAGTTTTTGACTGGGAGATTAATTCCTCGCGCGATTAATCTCCTCCCTTTCTCCGAGCGAAAAATTATGGGAGGACAATGTTTCGTGTATTTACGAGAGAGTCTTGCGCTCTTGATCGACGAATAAGCAAATCTCAGGTAGAGTGCGAGCAAAAATACGCACGAGTCTCGCGACGTCTGTTTAACCCTTTCACTGTTAGTGGGAAGTATACTTGTTGTATATCACATAATTTTGAAGAACTAATCGGGGCATTTGAGTTTTATTTATTTGAGAGATAACTGAATAGTTGGTCAACACATTCCAATAGGTTTTTATACCCAATTATTCATTTGTGATTATTTATAGCAAATCAAAGTTGAAAAAAAAATGCTTCTTTTAAGGAAAAATCGATTCCACGGAGAGTATTGAATATAGAGGTCTGAAATTTTCACCAAATATTTTTCTGATGTTGTACGAAAACATATATTTTTTTCAGTACCTTTTTGTAGGTTAGATTTTTTTTATAAACAAATATTTCTACAAAAACGGCTGAAATTTGACTTTTTGCACTTTTTAGCTCTATTTTCCTAGTTTTTCATTCTGTATCTTCATCTTATCCATACTATCAATATTATTTTACTCAAAAATGAATGTTCAATCTCTAGTAAGCATAAATATGCAATATTGAACATTTTCCCACATCAATTTTTTCCAGCTCGATCGAGTTCCATCGTCTAGAATCATTTGTTCTTATTACGACCTGGTCATTATTTAATAATAATTGAAATTTTCATTGATTTTGTACATCATGATCGCCATATTGAGTCCGCCATTTTGAATCTTGTAAATCTGACTTTAGATTCGTAATCAGCGATCCGACGAAAAAACGTAGGACTACCAAATATTTTAATAATTTTCTCAAGGGAAGTTAATCCAGCAGTGAAAGGGTTAAACAATCGAGATGTTCGAGACGACCGATCGACTCGTGATCAACACAGATCGATGAGATTTTCCGGATCGCGATACCTCGGTTCATTCGCTCTCGACGGTCTGCGACCGGTCGTGGTAAATTTCGGCGGGAAAAGAAGATTGAGAAAAAGATGCACAAGGACTTAATACAAGTTAGTTTTGGCGGAAGACCGCGGAGTGTATAAATTCAAAGTAGATTAATATTGTCTCCGTGGCTGTCGCGGCGCCAAACTTATGGCGCTAATTCGGCGGAGGAATTATTACAGCGGGGGCTGCCCTCGAGTCATCCCCCGCGCTCGCACTCGTGTTTTGCGAAAAGGGGGGAGGGCTGTCTTGTCTTTAATAGAAGCCGTACGTGCCTAGCAGGATTCCAAGCGACGCATCCGTTAATATTTGCACCTCGGCTCTTCTAGAATGGAGAATCGTCTCGATTCTCGAGGAGGAACGTCGATAACACCTGCGTGAATCGTGCATTTGCATGATGAATACGCGAGTGGATCGAACGAAGTTAGGACCTTACGTCGCGTTTAGCGCGACTACCGAGCGACGAAGGAGCGTGCGGGGTGTATCGGTAAACGCGAAGAGGGAGCGATTTTCTTTCGGCAAAATTAAGGATATTTCGCATTGTCTTTCGTTCCGCGGAGTACCGAAGAAGACGACAGACTACAGCTGTTTAGCATCCTCGATGAAAA